TTTCTCAAAACAGCATTTTTCGGGATAGAGTCCTTGTGCTTAAAAGCTACCATTTGTGCCCCCAACAATCACAAATTATCACGGAGGTTGGCTGATTCAGCTCTGCCTGTTTAGGGCAGACCGGTGTTGTCAGAGTAGAAAGACGATGATATTCGATAAAAGAAACCTCCCCACTCAGGAATCGAGCTCACATCTTCGGCGTACAATAGCTAAGCACCTGGCCACTACACGCCAAAATCTGATGATGATGATGATGATGATGATGATGATGATGATGTGGTTCGATGTGTTAATGAGCCGACTCTACTGTCCGGTCATATGTGAATAGAACCCGGAAGAAGATCCTCAGAAAATCTTCCCATTTTCCAACAGGAGACGGTTCTTCATTTTAAAGTTAAATTATTTTTTTTCCGCCCTTCCCCTCGACACACTTTGGACCTCTATGGAGATGCGATGATACGACGTTGTCTGCCCGGGGAACCACGGCTGACTGGCATATATCATTTCAGCAGAAAGAAAGTAAAACTAGATAAAACGCGTGGCATCGTGGTAAACTCAGGCGCTTGTCAGAATAATGAAATCGAAGAAACCGACCTGTTGAGGTTCGTTGAGCAATACATTTTTTTATATTTGACTTTTCTTTATTGGCTCGATACTTTTTATGTCCATTTAAAAAGCACATTTCTTTGTGGATTTTTACAATAAAACGATGATTAAAGACAGAGTACTGACGCGGGGCTCTCGTGGTCTAGAGGTTTAGGTGATGGCCTCTCATTCAAAGGTCCCGGGTTCGAATCCGGGTAGAGATCGAACCATTTTCTTCTCTAAAATTGTCTTCTTTCACCTCCTTTCCTGCTCTCTTGCAATGTTCTGTCGTCTGCTTTCGTCTCCCCTTTCAATCCCAACCCCTTCACCTCCTTTGCCCCCTTCTCTGGGCTCATGATTCTTTCTGCAGCCTTTCTACTGCTACTCCTTGGCTCCTTCTTACTGCTGTCTTTCAGCCACACCCCTGATCTTCTGGTAGGAAAGATCTACACCTAACCTTCT